TTGACGCTCAGGAGGTGAAGACGAGGTTGGTGCTCAGTAGGTGAAGACGAGGTTGGTGCTCAGTAGGTGAAGACGAGGTTGGTGCTCAGTAGGTGAAGACGAGGTTGTTGCTCAGTAGGTGAAGACGAGGTTGACGCTCAGTAGGTGAAGACGAGGTTGGTGCATCAGTCGGTGAAGACGAGGTTGATGCTCAGTAGGTGAAGACGAGGTTGACGCTCAGGAGGTGAAGACGAGGTTGGTGCTCAGTAGGTGAAGACGAGGTTGATGCTCAGTAGGTGAAGACGAGGTTGATGCTCAGTAGGTGAAGACGAGGTTGACGCTCAGGAGGTTGAAGACGAGGTTGGTGCTCAGTAGGTGAAGACGAGGTTGGTGCTCAGTAGGTGAAGAAGAGGTTGGTGGCTCAGTAGGTGAAGACGAGGTTGGTGCTCAGTAGGTGAAGACGAGGTTGGTGCTCAGTAGGTGAAGACGAGGTTGGTGCTCAGTAGGTGAAGACGAGGTTGGTGCTCAGTAGGTGAAGACGAGGTTGGTGCTCAGTAGGTGAAGACGAGGTTGGTGCTCAGTAGGTGAAGACGAGGTTGGTGCTCAGTAGGTGAAGACGAGGTTGGTGCTCAGTAGGTGAAGACGAGGTTGGTGCTCAGTAGGTGAAAACGAGGTTGGTGCTCAGTAGGTGAAGACGAGGTTGAAGCTCAGTAGGTGAAGACGAGGTTGAAGCTCAGTAGGTGAAGACGAGGTTGGTGCTCAGTAGGTGAAGACGAGGTTGGTGCTCAGTAGGTGAAGACGAGGTTGAAGCTCAGTAGGTGAAGACGAGGTTGACGCTCAGTAGGTGAAGACGAGGTTGACACTCAGTAGGTGAAGACGAGGTTGGACACTCAGTAGGTGAAGACGAGGTGGATGCTCAGTAGGTGAAGACGAGGTTGACACTCAGTAGGTGAAGACGAGGTTGGTGCTCAGTAGGTGAAGACGAGGGTAGAGGTGAAGACGAGGTGGTCAGTAGGTGAAGACGAGGTTGAAGCTCAGTAGGTGAAGACGAGGTTGGTGCTCAGTAGGTGAAGACGAGTTGGTGCTCAGTAGGTGAAGACGAGGTTGGTGACACTCAGTAGGTGAAGACGAGGTTGGGGCTCAGTAGGTGAAGACGAGGGTTGATGCTCAGTAGGTGAAGACGAGGTTGGTGCTCAGTAGGTGAAGACGAGGTTGGCGCTCAGTAGGTGAAGACGAGGTTGGTGCTCAGTAGGTGAAGACGAGGTTGGCCTAGCTCAGTAGGTGAAGACGAGGTGTGACACTCAGTAGGTGAAGACGAGGTTGACGCTCAGTAGGTGAAGACGAGGTTGTGCTCAGTAGGTGAAGACGAGGTGATAGCTCAGTAGGTGAAGACGAGGTTGGTGCTCAGTAGGTGAAGACGAGGTTGACTGCTCAGTAGGTGAAGACGAGGTTGGTGCTCAGTAGGTGAAGACGAGGTTGACGCTCAGTAGGTGAAGACGAGGTTGATGCTCAGTAGGTGAAGACGAGGTTGGTGCTCAGTAGGTGAAGACGAGGTTGGTGCTCAGTAGGTGAAGACGAGGTTGACGCTCAGTAGGTGAAGACGAGGTTGGTGCTCAGTAGGTGAAGACGAGGTTGGTGCTCAGTAGGTGAAGACGAGGTTGGTGCTCAGTAGGTGAAGACGAGGTTGGTAGCTCAGTAGGTGAAGACGAGGTTGACACTCAGTAGGTGAAGACGAGGTGGTGCCTCAGTAGGTGAAGACGAGGTTGACACTCAGTAGGTGAAGACGAGGTTGGTGCTCAGTAGGTGAAGACGAGGTTGACGCTCAGTAGGTGAAGACGAGGTTGGTGCTCAGTAGGTGAAGACGAGGTTGGTGCTCAGTAGGTGAAGACGAGGTTGGACACTCAGTATGGTGAAGACGAGGTTGGTTGCTCAGTAGGTGAAGACGAGGTTGATCGCTCAGTAGGTGAAGACGAGGTTGGTGCTCAGTAGGTGAAGACGAGGTTGACTGACTCAGTAGGTGAAGACGAGGTTGGTGCTCAGTAGGTGAAGACGAGGTTGAATGCTCAGTAGGTGAAGACGAGGTTGACACTCAGTAGGTGAAGACGAGGTTGGCGCTCAGTAGGTGAAGACGAGGTTGATGCTCAGTAGGTGAAGACGAGGTTGGTGCTCAGTAGGTGAAGACGAGGTTGGTGCTCAGTAGGTGAAGACGAGGTTGACACTCAGTAGGTGAAGACGAGGTTGACACTCAGTAGGTGAAGACGAGGTTGACACTCAGTAGGTGAAGACGAGGTTGGTGCTCAGTAGGTGAAGACGAGGTTGACGCTCAGTAGGTGAAGACGAGGTTGGTGCTCAGTAGGTGAAGACGAGGTTGGTGCTCAGTAGGTGAAGACGAGGTTGACACTCAGTATGTGAAGACGAGGTTGACAGCTCAGTAGGTGAAGACGAGGTTTGATGCACTCAGTAGGTGAAGACGAGGTTGAGCTCAGTAGGTGAAGACGAGGTTGACACTCAGTAGGTGAAGACGAGGTTGGTGCTCAGTAGGTGAAGACGAGGTTGAAGCTCAGTAGGTGAAGACGAGGTTGACACTCAGTAGGTGAAGACGAGGTTGGCGCTCAGTAGGTTAGAAAGGTTGATGCTCAGGTAGGTGAAGACGAGGTTGACACTCAGTAGGTGAAGACGAGGTTGGTGCTCGTAGGTGAAGACGAAGGTTGCGCTCAGGAAGTGAGAGACGAGGTTGTGCTGCTCAGTAGGTGAAGACGAGGTTGACGCTCAGTAGGTGAAGACGAGGTTGACGCTCAGTAGGTGAAGACGAGGTTGGTGCTCAGTAGGTGAAGACGAGGTTGGTGCTCAGTAGGTGAAGACGAGGTTGGTGCTCAGTAGGTGAAGACGAGGTTGACGCTCAGTAGGTGAAGACGAGGTTGGTGCTCAGTCGGTGAAGACGAGGTTGATGCTCAGTAGGTGAAGATGAGGTTGACGCTCAGGAGGTGAAGACGAGGTTGGTGCTCAGTAGGTGAAGACGAGGTTGGTGCTCAGTAGGTGAAGACGAGGTTGGTGCTCAGTAGGTGAAGACGAGGTTGGTGCTCAGTAGGTGAAGACGAGGTTGACGCTCAGTAGGTGAAGACGAGGTTGGTGCTCAGTCGGTGAAGACGAGGTTGATGCTCAGTAGGTGAAGACGAGGTTGACGCTCAGGAGGTGAAGACGAGGTTGGTGCTCAGTAGGTGAAGACGAGGTTGATGCTCAGTAGGTGAAGACGAGGTTGATGCTCAGTAGGTGAAGACGAGGTTGACGCTCAGGAGGTGAAGACGAGGTTGGTGCTCAGTAGGTGAAGACGAGGTTGGTGCTCAGTAGGTGAAGACGAGGTTGGTGCTCAGTAGGTGAAGACGAGGTTGGTGCTCAGTAGGTGAAGACGAGGTTGGTGCTCAGTATGTGAAGACGAGGTTGGTGCTCAGTAGGTGAAGACGAGGTTGGTGCTCAGTAGGTGAAGACGAGGTTGGTGCGCAGTAGGTGAAGACGAGGTTGGTGCTCAGTAGGTGAAGACGAGGTTGGTGCTCAGTAGGTTGAAGACGAGGTTGGTGCTCAGTAGGTGAAGACGAGGTTGGTGCTCAGTAGGTGAAACGAGGTTGGTGCTCAGTAGGTGAAGACGAGGTTGAAGCTCAGTAGGTGAAGACGAGGTTGAAGCTCAGTAGGTAAGACGAGGTTGGGTGCTCTAGTAGGTGAAGACGAGGTTGGTGCTCAGTAGGTGAAGACGATGGTTGAAGCTCAGTAGGTGAAGACGAGGTTGACGCTCAGTAAGGTGAAGACGAGGTTGACACTCAGTTAGGTGAAGACGAGGTTGATGCTCAGTAGGTGAAGACGAGGTGACGCTCAGTAGGTGAAGACGAGGTTGACACTCCGGTAGGTGAAGACGAGGTTGGTGCTCAGTAGGTGAAGACGTAGGTTGGTGCTCAGTAGGTGGAAGACGAGGTTGGTGCTCAGTAGGTGAAGACGAGGTTGACGCTCAGGTAGGTGAAGACGAGGTTGGTGCTCAGTAGGTGAAGACGAGGTTTGGTGCTCAGTAGGTGAAGACGAGGTTGGTGCTCAGTAGGTGAAGACGTGTTGACACTCAGTAGGTGAAGGACGAGGTTGACACTCAGTAGTGTGAAGACGAGGTTTGGTTGCTCAGTAGGTGAAGACGAGGTTGACACTCAGTAGGCGAAGACGAGGTTGGTGCTCAGTAGGGTGAAGACGAGGTTGACACTCAGTAGGTGAAGACGAGGTTTGACACTCAGTAGGGTGAAGACGAGGTTGGTGCTCAGTAGGTGAAGACGAGGTTGACACTCAAGTAGGGTGAAGACGAGTGTTGGTGCTCGTAGGGTGAAGACGAGGTTGGTGCTCAGTAGGTGAAGACGAGGTTGGTGCTCAGTAGGTGAAGACGAGGTTGACACTCAGTAGGTGAAGACGAGGTTGGTGCTCAGTAGGTGAAGACGCGGTTGGTGCTCAGTAGGTGAAGACGAGGTTGGTGCTCAGTAGGTGAAGACGAGGTTGACGCTCAGTAGGTGAAGACGAGGTTGGTGCTCAGTAGGTGAAGACGAGGTTGGTGCTCAGTAGGTGAAGACGAGGTTGGTGCTCAGTAGGTGAAGACGAGGTTGGTGCTCAGTAGGTGAAGACGAGGTTGACACTCAGTAGGTGAAGACGAGGTTGACACTCAGTAGGTGAAGACGAGGTTGACACTCAGTAGGTGAAGACGAGGTTGGTGCTCAGTAGGTGAAGACGAGGTTGACGCTCAGTAGGTGAAGACGAGGTTGGTGCTCAGTAGGTGAAGACGAGGTTGGTGCTCAGTAGGTGAAGACGAGGTTGACACTCAGTATGTGAAGACGAGGTTGGTGCTCAGTAGGTGAAGACGAGGTTGACACTCAGTAGGTGAAGACGAGGTTGGTGCTCAGTAGGTGAAGACGAGGTTGGTGCTCAGTAGGTGAAGACGAGGTTGGTGCTCAGTAGGTGAAGACGAGGTTGACACTCAGTAGGTGAAGACGAGGTTGACACTCAGTAGGTGAAGACGAGGTTGACACTCAGTAGGTGAAGACGAGGTTGACACTCAGTAGGTGAAGACGAGGTTGGTGCTCAGTAGGTGAAGACGAGGTTGACACTCAGTAGGTGAAGACGAGGTTGGACACGGTGGAGGTGGCATCGCCCACGTCGCCTGATATGAGTTCGCTCATCTCCGGGGTGCAGTAGTCGGGAAAGTCAAAGTGTGAGCAGCGGCTGCTGCCCGTGCTCAGCGAGTCCCACGACTGCCCCCCCCCGCCGCCCCCTCCGTCCCGCTCCCCGCACCGAGCGCCCCCCCAGGGAGAGGAGGCGCCCTGCAGCAGCAGCCCCCCCCCTCCCTGGGCCTCCCAGCCGTCGGCCGCCCCCTGCCCGGCACCGTACCCCTCCGTACCCCAGGAGGACGCCCCCACGGCACCCCCAACCCCTCCTTCTCCACGCTCCCCCAAGCCCCATCGTCTTCAACGTCGTCGTCATCGTCGTCGTCATCAATATCATCATCGGCGTCGTCGTCGTCGGAACAGGCGAATGACGAATACATGGACGAGGTGGACAGAGGACGAAGGGGAGGAGCAGGACGACGAGGTGGACGCCGGGCGGGGAGAAGAGGGCCGCCGCTCCGGGCCCTCTGCCGCCCGACAGCACGGGCGGCCCGCCGGCGGCGGCCGGCGGCGGCGGCGACGGCGGCGGCGCCCGCCCCGTCGCGGGCGGGCGCCGCCGTCCTCCGCCGCTTGGCGCCGGCGAGCGGAGCCGAGCCACCTCCACCGCGGGCCTCGTGCGCCGGCACCGCCGCCGGCCACGCTCTTCCTCTTGCGCTTCTTCTTCTTGGCCGCGTCGCGGTCGGCGCCGTCGCCGCCGGGATTCGCGGAGCAGTCGCTCTCCACGGCCTCCGGCGCTGGCGGGGCCTTCTCACCGAGCTCGCCGCTGGCGCCCGCGGCGCCGCCGCCGCCGGTGTTGTTGTTGTTGTTGTTGACGTGGGCTTTCTTGCGTGGCCGGTACTTGTAGTCCGGGTAGTCGGCCATGTGCTTGAGGCGCAGGCGCTCGGCCTCCCGGAGGAAGGGAACCTTCTCGCCGTCCTTGAGCTGCTTCCAGCGGCGGCCCAGCCGCTTGGAGATCTCCGCGTTGTGCACGTCCGGAGACTCCTCCATGATCTTGCGCCGCTCGATCTGCGACCACACCATGAAGGCGTTCATGGGCCTCTTGATGTGCCCGCTGGCCGTGCGGCACCAGGCCGCGTCCCCGGCGCCCGCCGCCGCCGGGGACGTGGCCCCCCCGGGGTCCGCGGCGCCGTGGGTCCCCGCGTCCGAGACGCCGATCCGGTGCACCATGGCGGCGGTGGTGCCGCTGGTACCGAGCTCTGTGCGCGGAGCGAGAGGTGTGGGGGGGAGGGGGGGTCACACAGCAGCAGTGTCAGCAGCACAGCCACCAGCAGAATAAGCAACGGCATCATCATAGTCATCATGAGCAGCAGCAACATTAAGGTCATCGTCATCAACAGCAGCATCATAGACATCATCAACAGCTGCAGCAGCATCATAGTCATCATGAGCAGCAGCAGCAACATTAAGGTCATCGTCATCAACAGCAGCATCATAGACATCATCAACAGCTGCAGCAGAATCAGTCATCATCAGCAGCAACATTAAGGTCATCGTCATCAACAGCAGCATCATAGACATCATCACCAGCAGCAGCAGAATCAGTCATCATGAGCAGCAGCAGCAGCAGAATCAGTCATCATGAGCAGCAGCAGCAACATTAAGCTCATCGTCATCAACAGCAGCATCATAGACATCAACAGCATCAGCAGCATCATAGTCATCATGAGCAGCAGCAGCAACATTAAGCTCATCGTCATCAACAGCAGCATCATAGACATAATCAACAGCTGCAGCAGAATCATAGTCATCATCAGCAGCAACATTAAGGTCATCGTCATCAACAGCAGCATCATAGACATCATCAACAGCTGCAGCAGAATCAGTTATCATCAGCAGCAACATTAAGGTCATCGTCATCAACAGCAGCATCATAGACATCATCAACAGCTGCAGCAGAATCAGTCATCATCAGCAGCAACATTAAGGTCATCGTCATCAACAGCAGCATCATAGACATCATCAACAGCATCATCATAGTCATCATGAGCCGCAGCAGCAGCAGCAGCAGCAACATTAAGCTCATCGTCATCAACAGCATCATCATAGACATCATCAACAGCATCAGCAACATCATAGTCATTATGAGCAGCAGCAACATTAAGCTCATCGTCATCAACAGCAGCATCATAGACACCATCAACAGCAGCATCATTATATTGTAAATTTGAAGCTTTCGTGACTGCAAGGATCCATACTCTTTGGTTCTATTCGGTAAGTCACGTAGGTAAAAAAACAAACAAAAAACAAAAAAAAATACGACGTTTCGGCCACAACACAAGTGGCCTTCATCAGGTGAAGGGACCGGACTGTCCAAAGGACAGCGTTGGAGTGAAAACAGCCAAGCCCAGGTCGCGTCCTTTAAGCTGTGTGGGAGGAAACAAAAGCGCCTTGACAAAGGAATTAGCATAAAAATGAGCATGATGTACGTGGAGGTACATGATGGACCAGGCGCGGGGGGGGGGGGAGTTTACATAATGTTGGTGTGAAGGGAAATAAGCAGCTGTGAAAGTTTGGGATACCACTACTTGAAAAAATATACTGTACTATTGAAAATTAGTTTAATGTTTGGTTTGATTTAGAACATCTTTCCAATGATTGCTTAATTTGAAACCATCCTCTCGATTGAAATTGTGTCTGTGTTTGTAAATCTGAATTGCCTCGTGGACAAATCTCTGATAAAAACCCGTGGGTTTGCAGAGAACCTTGGTATCGGAGAAAACTATATCGTGATCACCCACAGCGTCATCATGAGCAGCAGCAGCAACATTAAGCTCATCGTCATCAACAGCAGCATCATAGACATTATCAACAGCATCAGCAGAATCAGTCATCAGCAGCAGCAGCAACATTAAGCTCATCATCAACAGCATCAGCAGCGTCATAGTCATCAGCAGCAACAGGAGAGTCATAGTCGTCATCATCAGCAGAAGCATTAACAGCAGCATCGTCAGCACAATCTGCAACATCAGTAACCATCAGCAGCAGCTGCCGTCATCAGCAAATGCATCGTGCCGTAGTTAGATATCATCATCAGCATGCTGGTCACCCTCATTATCATTATAAAAGAAGCAGCAGCAGCATCGTCAGCAGCATCATCATCAGCATCATCATCATCAGCCGTATGATGCCATTGTAGCGAGTCGACATGCGGATATTTAGCAGCACCGCCAGCATGATCATCAGGGCCATCATTAGTATCAGCAGCATCATCAGTCATGAGTCAGCATCATAATAATCAGTCTCAGTCATCATCAGCAGTATCAACAGTAGCAGTGTCAAAGTCATTATCAGTTTTATCAGTAAAAGTATCGTCAGCAGCTTCATTAATGCGTTGTCACTATCACGAGCAGCAGCAGACACAGTAGCATCATCATCCTCATCAGCAATAGAATCATCATCAGCATCATCATCATCCTCATCATCATCAGCAGCAATATCATAGTCATCGTCTATTGAGTCGATGAGCCTGCAGGACGTTTGTCTCTCGGCCATGCGAACGTACACAGACGCCGTGCCCTGGTCTCGGACTTGAACTCGTCAGCGTCACTGTCCGAGGCGGTTTTGCTCGAAGCTGCCACTGGCGGCGTGTGGCTGGCGAGGGTCTGCGCGAGAGTCGCGGCCCCCATCACGACACCAGTAAGTGGGTCAAATCAACACGGTGGAGAAGAAAGACAAAGATCCCCCGTGCAGCCTCAACGGCCTGTTGGGGCAAGTGCTGTTAGCGAGTAGCACCGATGAAGAAGACTCGCGTGCATACATACACGCGTACACTCGCGTGCATGCATACACGCGTACATTCGCGTGCATGCATACACGCGTACACTCGCGTGCATGCATACACGCGTACACTCGCGTGCATGCATACACGCGTACACTCGCGTGCATGCATACACGCGTACACTCGCATGCATACATACACGCGTACACTCGCATGCATACATACACGCGTACACTCGCACGGAGACCCACGGACTCGCAGACAGCGCGCCTTAAAACTCTCTGGAGCTCGGCGCGGTTCACAACACGAGTAAGTAGGTCGAACGACACAGCAAGAATACTGACACACACAGACCCATACACGTGCATACATGACCCAGAGACTCACGCAGAGACCCACATACTCACACGTACCCATACTCACATGGAGATCCATAGACTTACAGAAACACAGATTCACAGCAGAAACCCACATACTCACACAGATCCATAGACTAAGAGAGCCATAGACTCACACAGCGCCTCGTAGACTCGCGCAGACACCCATAGACTCGCACACACAAACGGACACCCATATTCACATACAGACCCATAGACTCACGCAAATACCCACAAACTCACAAAGACCCATAGACTCACACATAGACCCATAGACTCACCAGAGACCCATAGACTCACCAGAGACCCATAGATGCACGTGGAGACTCATAGACTCACACGAGACCCATAGACTCACACGAGACCCATAGACTCACACGAGACCCATAGGCTCACACATAGACCCATAGACTCACCAGAGACCCATAGACTCACCAGAGACCCATAGATTCACACATAGACCCATAGACTCGGATATCCGCAGACTCACACGGTGACCTGATCTCAGCGCCAAGCGATTCACAAGCCCACACCACAACACGAGTAAGTAGGTCAAATGACGGTACAGTAGTCACACAATCTCTCTCCCTCACAGGCTCATACAGAGACCCACAGACTCTCGCAGAGACCCACAAACCCTCGCAGAGACCCACAGACCCTCGCAGAGACCCGTAGACTCTCACAGAGACCCGTAGACTCTCACAGAGACCCGTAGACTCTCACAGAGACCCACAGACTCTCACAGAGACCCACAGACTCTCACAGAGACCCACAGACTCTCACAGAGACCCACAGACTCTCACAGAGACCCACAGACTCTCACAGAGACCCACAGACCCTCACAGAGACCCACAGACTCACAGGGACTACAGGCTAATAGAGACCCACAGAATCGCACAGAGGGCCATAGATCCACAAAGAGGCCTACATATACCCAGTAAAGTGTTTGTATGCACAGGGCACTTGCCTCAATGCACCATTCAATTACATTGTCCTGCAACCAGTTTAGCTTAGGGGACCCCCCAGTGGAAGCCATTCGTACGTATCATGAGCTGGAGCCAGAGGCGACCTGCAGAGGGTTATCGGTGTGCCAGCAGGGGGCGGGATCGTTAACACACAGTACACACACAAGATACAAATCCCCTGTATAGCCTCGCAGGCTGCTGGGGCAAGTGCCGTTAGAGCGGCGTCCAATGAAGGCGGGGGATGGCACGGGTTGGGGGTTGTGGACGGAATGCAGACAGACGTTTTACACCGAGCCGATTTAGGGGAGGCCCAGAAGGAGTTATGGCCTTCACGCGCCACTGATGTTAGCCGTGCGGCGGGGGTTTATGGAACGCTGGGAGCTTGAGGGGGGGGGCGGGGGGGTGGTGGCGGGGGGGGGGTCGTAGCGCAGTGCGCCAACCGCTGCGCCACCGCTCCCCCACACACGTACACACACGTGTATACACGCTGTATAGACAAAGACACACACACATTCTAGTAGACGTATACAGACATACAAATATATCCCGTATAGCTTTAACAGACTGTTGGGGCAAGTGCTGTTAGCGAGCACCTATAAAGGCCGAAACGGCACACGAGGGGGTGGGTTGGCCAACACCACGCCCGTCCGCCTTTGTCTCCCCAGTGCTGATGTTTTATGCACAACGCACCAGGTACTCATTTAAGGCTGAGTGGACCCTAGGGGAGGCCCATGACCAGTTCAAATATTCGCCGCTGTTATCGGTCGTGAGCCGGAATCGAACTTGGATGCTTCCCAGTTTCGTAGCCCAGCACGCTAACCACTGAAGCCACCGCTGGCCAACTACACACACAGGCGTAGAGGGCAATGCAGTATACATCGAGTACTTGCTTGTGATGATGGAGCCTTACGGCCAACGAAGCGCCGATTCAGAATCCTTCATCCAACCTTCCACCACCACCACCACCTCCTCCCTCCTCCTCCCTCCCGCACGCCTCGCGCCAAGCAAGCCCCGCTCCAGCCCGCGCGGCCGCACCGCTGCCCTTTAAGAGAGGCTCCGCAGCCAATGGGCGCAGAGAGTTCCTCTCCCATCCCCCCAGCGCCTCTCCCTCTCTCGCCTCTACCTCCCCCCATCCACCTCCCACCCTTCCCTCCCTCATCATCCCCTTCCCGATACAACTCATCCGCAACAGACCGCCCGCACGCCCTGCCTCCCTCCCCGACTCGCTCACTCACATATCCCTTCCCCCACCCCTTGCTCCTGCAGCTCCCATCCCCCACCTCCTCCTCCTGCTCCCACCACTGCCCCCGCCCCCCTCTACCCTCCCCCTCTACATCCTCTACCCATCCCCCAGCACCCCCCGCCGTGGAACATACCACGCCTACGGCCTCATCAACATTCAGAGGCATCTGACCTATTTTAGACGCGCGGCTTCTATTTACATACGGACCGTAGTGGCGGTTCCGCGCGCATTGAGAGAGAGATGGGAGCCCGGGTTCGTGGCGAGAAGGAGGAGGATGAGGAGGAGGAGGAGGTCATGACGATGCTTTAGATGCTGATGGGAGCCTATTGGTGGTCAAGAGTAGTAACAGAGAGAGCAGTCGGGAGGAACGGGACGCGTCTCTGACGCGGGTGCCTTCCCCGGCACGGAAATGGAGCGGAGATGATGATGATGGCGGGTGATGTTGATGACGACGATACCATCATCATCTCGCGTGCAGCTGGCTGCATGCCGGATGGATCGTTGTTCCATCGCAGAGTTGTGCGATGTGGCGGCGGCTTTGGAGAGGCGTTCATCCAGCAGTGGATTGATAATGTTGACGCATCATTAATTATTCCGAGCGGAAACCCAAAGAACGCACGGGGAAAGCCGAAGGGACGAGTTGTGGGAGATGGGGTGGATTGCAAGGTCACTGTGCGTGTGCACAACGAATCCGGCCACCCAAGTTCGATTCCCGCTCACGGCCACTAACACCAGTGACGATCATCTGAACCGGACCTGGGCCTCCCCTAGGTCGTCTCAGCCTCACATGAGTATCTAGTGGCGATGTGTAGGACTTTTGTCTTTGTATGGAGAGAGAGGGGTGGATTAGAGGGTGCCTGTGTGCGTGTGTGTGCTCAGAAACAGTCGCGAGGCATTATTTTTCCATCGGCTGGGTAACGCTGCTGTGTGGAAGCTACCTGGCCTGCCAGTCATGCCCTCCCTTCTCTATGCTTGAGAAACGTGTACCCCTCTCATGAAACATCTGCGCCGGTTTGAAAACTTCAGTCTGGCCTTCCGAAGACCCACCCTGGGTTTGACCAGGCTGGACTGGTGTGAGGAGCTAGCTCACAGATCCCTGGAAGATCTGGACACAGTCCCATTGGTGAGCTCCTCTGGCAGTCAAGGCTGCGTTGGCTGGGTCATGTAGCCCGCATGCCCAGCCACCGCATGCCCAGACAGCTTCTGTTTGGCCGGATAGAGGGGGGGGGGCTAAACGGGTGCAGCACGGGCTAGACAAGAGATGGGCTGATGTGGTACAGAAGGATGTGGAGGCTCGTAAAACACGCTACGGGGGCAGTTGGAGGCAGTCGCCCTCCACAACGACGAGCGGAGCGCCGTGCGGATAAAATACAGCAAGGTGACACAGTGGGGAGTACAGATTGTGCATCGGTCATCTCACTCGGCCAACCCATGGCACCCGGGTCTGCTTCGTGAACTCCTGCCAGCAGCGTAATCCTTCGGCACTTCACGTGGCCTCAAAGGGCACCTATCCTGGCACGAGCGCCGTGGCAACGTCACCGCCACTGAGTGGCGAGTGGCTGCTGCTGCTGCCTGCGTCGGGCCATTTGCAGCAGATGCCATCACCTCTGCGACTGTGTGCGTGCCGCTCTCGCTGGGTACAGAGGAAGCCAGACACGCAGACACGTGCAGAGGCACAGAGAGACACACGTAGACACACGTGCACAGAGACACAGACACGTTCACACGTGCACAGAGAGAGACAGAGACACGTGCACAGAGACACAGACACACGTAGACACACGTGCACAGAGACACAGACACGTTCACACGTGCATAGAGAGAGACAGAGACACGTGCACAGAGACACAGACACACGTAGACACACGTGCACAGAGACACAGACACGTTCACACGTGCACAGAGAGAGACAGAGACACGTGCACAGAGACACAGACACACGTAGACACACGTGCACAGAGACACAGACCCACGTAGACACACGTGCACAGAGACACAGACACGTTCACACGTGCACAGAGAGAGACAGAGACACGTGCACAGAGACACAGACACGTTCACACGTGCACAGAGAGAGAGACAGAGACACGCGCACAGAGACACAGACACACGTAGACACACGTGCACAGAGACACAGACACGTTCACACGTGCACAGAGAGAGACAGAGACACGCGCACAGAGACACAGACACACGTAGACACACGTGCACAGAGACACAGACACGTTCATACTTGCACAAAAAGAGACTGAGACACGTGCATAGAGACACAGACACACGTAGACACACGTGCACAGAGACACAGACACGTTCACACGTGCAGAAAGAGAGACACAGACACACGTAGACACGTGCACACAGTGCGCTAACCACTGCACCACCGCTCCCCACAACTACTATTACTGCGGCCACGGGATTTCACGACTGGAAGAGGATGGGGGTGAGGGAAGGGGGGTGAGGGGAGGGGGGGTGGAGGGAGGGGGGTGAGGGGAGGGGGGAAGCTGCACCACGCTTGCGGAGGAGGGGGAGCGTGGTTGGTGTTGCGGGGTCGAGTTGAGGGGGGAGCGGTGGCGCAGTGGTTAGCGCTACGCTGCGCTACGAACCCGACCATCCGAGTTTGATTCCCGCTCACGGCCACCAACACCGGGGAATATTATCTGAACCGGTCCTGGAGCTCCCGTAGGTCGACTCAGCCTCAAACGAGTACGGTACCTCGTGCGATGTGTTACCATCGCCGCTCGGGAGACAAAGGCGGCCGGGCGTGACGTTGGCCAGCCACCAACACGTGTGCCGTGTCGGGCTTGATCGGTGCCCGCAAACAGCACTTGCCCCATGAGTCTGCTAAGGCTACACGGGGGCTCTTTGTCTTTGTTTTGGTAAGACGGGAAGAGAGAGGGCGAGGTTGGAAGGAAAAACGAGAATGGGGGGGCGGGACTGGGAGCGGGGGTGGGGGGGGTTAAGGAGGGGGGGGGGGGTCACGTTTCACAGTCTGTGACGTCACCTCGTGGCAAGTGAACACGGCTTGTTTATTCAGCGTTGTATGTGTCTATGTGTCTCTCTGTGTCTCACTGCGTGTCTACCTTATGTTCCCTTGTCTCAATGCGTGTCTACTTGTCTCAGTGCGTATCTCCGTGTCTCAGTGCGTGTCTTCGTGTCTCAGTGCGAGTCTCAGTGAGAGTCTCAGTGAGAGTATCAGTGTCTGTCTCCATGTCTCAGTGAGAGTCTCAGTGAGAGTCTTAGTGAGAGTCTCAGTGAGAGTCTCAGTGTCTGTCTCCATGTCTCAGTGAGAGTCTCAGTGTCTGTCTCAGTGTCTGTCTCAGTGTCTGTCTCAGTGTCTGTCTCAGTGTCTTACTCCATGTCTCAGTGAGAGTCTCAGTGAGAGTCTCAGTGAGAGTCTCAGTGTCTGTCTCCATGTCTCAGTGAGAGTCTCAGTGTCTGTCTCAGTGTCTGTCTCAGTGTCTGTCTCAGTGTCTGTCTCCATGTCTCAGTGAGAGTCTCAGTGAGAGTCTCAGTGTCTGTCTCCATGTCTCACTGAGAGTCTCAGTGAGAGTCTTAGTGAGAGTCTCAGTGTCTGTCTCAGTGTCTGTCTCCATGTCTCACTGAGAGTCTCAGTGAGAGTCTCAGTGAGAGTCTCAGTGTCTGTCTCCATGTCTCACTGAGAGTCTCAGTGTCTGTCTCAGTGTCTGTCTCCATGTCTCAGTGAGAGTCTCAGTGAGAGTCTCAGTGTCTGTCTCCATGTCTCAGTGAGAATCTCAGTGTCTGTCTCAGTGTCTGTCTCCATGTCTCAGTGAGAGTCTCAGTGAGAGTCTCAGTGTCTGTCTCCATGTCTCAGTGAGAATCTCAGTGTCTGTCTCAGTGTCTGTCTCCATGTCTCAGTGAGAGTCTCAGTGACAGTCTCAGTGTCTGTCTCCATGTCTCACTGAGAGTCTTAGTGAGAGTCTCAGTGTCTGTCTCAGTGTCTGTCTCCATGTCTCAGTGAGAGTCTCAGTGACAGTCTCAGTGTCTGTCTCCATGTCTCAGTGAGAGTCTCAGTGAGAGTCTCAGTGAGAATCTCAGTGTCTGTCTCAGTGTCTGTCTCCATGTCTCAGTGAGAGTCTCAGTGAGAGTCTCAGTGACAGTCTCAGTGTCTGTCTCCATGTCTCACTGAGAGTCTTAGTGAGAGTCTCAGTGTCTGTCTCAGTGTCTGTCTCCATGTCTCAGTGAGAGTCTCAGTGACAGTCTCAGTGTCTGTCTCCATGTCTCAGTGAGAGTCTCAGTGACAGTCTCAGTGTCTGTCTCCATGTCTCAGTGAGAATCTCAGTGTCTGTCTCCATGTCTCAGTGAGAATCTCAGTGTCTCTCTCTATGTCTCAGTGAGAGTCTCAGTGAGGGTCTCCATGTCTCAGTGAGAGTCTACATGCGTCAGTGCGAGTCTCCGTGTGTCTCTCATTGTGAATGTCTCGAGGTCAGACCGACACAACCGGTGGCGATTGGGGAGAGCTGTTGGTGGGGACGGGAGAGGGGTCGCGGGGGGGGCGGGGCTCGCGGGGGGGGGGGGGCTCGTGGAGGGGGGGGGGCTCGCGTTGGGGCGGGGCCCCTCCCACAGCCCACGCAGCGACCCCTTCAGTGTTAACCATCGGCAACAAATAAATAAATAAATGCTTCTGCCAATCACCCGCCGGTAGCGCGCAGCGCGCGCGCCTCACGGGGCGACCCTTGCGCGTGCACGCATGGGGGGGGGAGCCGGGGGACGAGGGAGGGGCTGAGGGAGGGAAGGAGGGAGAGATGGCCAGGGGAGGGAGGGGACCAGTTTGATTGCCACTCTCTTGGTCGACCCAGTCCACAACACGAGTGGAGGAGGAACA